GACGGAGTGTGTATAGTGGCTGTGCATGAGTTGTGGAGGTTTGAAGGAAAAACATCGAAGGACCAGTATTTTACACCTTTACATATCTGTTGATATATTTACTGTAAGCAAATTTGATATGTTTAAAACCATTTTTAATGTGTTGGTTTATGTATGGCTTTCAAAACTGGGGCTCATCAATTTTGATTATCAGTGATTTATTTCTGTGCAAAAACGAACAGGGAATGACGGATGAACTATTTTTAATAATTCAAACAGCATTACTAGTTAAATTGCTGTGTGGAATCCCCCCCGGGGGGGGGGGCAATTTTAATAATACATAAAATTGTCACAAACGTATGAAAATTTCTGGATACAACTCTTCCAAGGGGAAGGGGAATCTCATCGGAATCCATTTTCTATTCTTATCCTCAAGCCACACCAAGACCATTCATCAAAACGAGTGGTCTGGGGTATACTAGTACTCTGACCCATTCCGAGGACTTTTGTTTGTAATGCTATATGATAAATCAGACTATTTATCACGTTAAACTAAATGAAAATCATTCTAAAATAACGTACCCAATTTATTCTGGATTCATTGATCTGGGAGAAAGAAATTACATTTGCAATAATAATCATCGAGCAGGTCCGGGTTGTAACTTTCCGTTGACGAGATACAACAGAACAGTACTGATTGGACTACATAAATGCTAATCAATTTCACATAACCAATTGTTGTTGTTTTTTGCTTTTTCCGATTTTTAATATCTCGTACATTATCTTCGGTGATAACTCAAATAGTGAAATTGGATATCTTCAACATAACGTAGCCGTTAAAAGTTACAAAACGAGTCTGTTTCGATCGATCTTCGCTTAAGCAGCATAACATTTTTGTTTTGTTTTGGCTCATTTAAAAAATACGAGCGGTGTCAATATGCAAAACTGCATTTTTTCTGTCTTTGGTGTGCTTCAGAATGATAGATCTTGGCCGATTGTATTTTTTACAAAGGACCTGAATGCAGAGCACTAATTTCACCCAATCTCTGCTCGCTTCTGCTTTTCGATCATTTATTTTACAACCGCTTGATGAATAATTTCCGCTTTATTTTTCGACCGCGCGAACCCAGAAATATCGCCCGTCTGCTAGCTGGAATTTTAAATACATGGCCATGGCATCTTTTTTTTTGTTTTTTTGGGGGCGGAAAATACATTAATATTTTCCTGCTTTCTCTGCTTTCTGCCTTAAGAAGTTAGCATTGCCTTTATCACGTAAATGTTTCGATAATCATATTGTTGAAATGAGGTAGCAGCTCTGGATTCAAACGGTACACAGTCCCGCTCTATCAGCTTGTTGTGGAACATTCACGTAACATAAGATCATAGTTTAAGTTGCGTTGCGAACTATAAAAAGTGTGATGGATTGGAAGTGTCGTTCGGAATTAAATAATGGTTAATAATCGTCGAATCCTCAAACTTTAGCACTAAAACAACCATTTCGACAACTCATGTGCCAGTGTTCAGTGTTTGGACAAGCGGTCAGTGTTTTTAATAAGCGAGTGAGTAAAAAGGGATAAAACATGGTCGTTTTTTGGTCGGAAATTAAGCATATACGGTTGATTAAAATGCGATAAAAGTGAGAGATTGGGCGAAATGAGTATTGATGGCCATTTATAGCTTGACATGCGTCACCACGTGAGGACGTAGTATGAGTTGGTAGTACTAGTATACGCGGGGAGGGAGTCCAGAGAGGGAGCAACCAGCGTTCCTTTTACAGGGAAAACGTGAAATCTCAACAGATTTTTATGTATGTAATATTAGGTTTTAAGGGCAGTACAAAAGTACAAAAAAGATGACTAAATGAACCGAAAAGCATGCGTTTAGAGACAAACCTATGCAGAAGTTGGTTTGCCAGTACGTAGTTTAATGAAACCAGTCGCCATTTTTTACTTATACTGATTCATTTAGGTCATTAAACAAATACATTTATCAATTCTTTTTCAAAATTCAAGCACTGTCTTTGTACTTTGCACACTGTCAATCATTCAAAATATTCTGACTAAAAATCCTTCTCAGCTAAAGTCTTCTGCACTGCTTATAATAGAATTTTAAGACTACAATCAGCTCCCACGTCTGCAACGCCTATCTAATGTAGACAAACTCATTTTTTAATTCTTTCTTCATAACTCAGATTATGCAGATCACATATCATCTGTATTGTGCCCCTTTACACTTTGTTTTTATCGTCAATGGCCTTCCTAAGTTATGATAATCAGAGTTGAACGCAATATTCCTAGGGTAGTGTATCCCTGCTCAAAGTCCGCAGTGATAATGACACACATATGTTTTTAGTTGCATCATGATACTACACTGCCAAGGTTGTGCTCACCATGTTGATTGTGCCACCAAAACGCAAAACTATGCTTGTTACATAACATTTATCAGTCTGCAGACCATCTACATTTTGTAAAACTGCTAACTCTCGATAATTATTTACTTAGCCTAAGACCTAAGTGTCATCGGCACAAATGGAAACCATTGGTATTATATTTGACTCAAAATCAATAATGAAAATTATAAACAAAGCTAAGCTTCAATAAAAAAGAAAAATGAGCAGTAGACATTTATACCATGAGCATTGAGTTTACGACATAAGCAAACATGTAGTTCATTGTCAACAACTTTTGAAAACGCAGATAGGCATCGACAGCAAAACCAGAATTAATGAATTTGGTCACATTCTGAAGTAGATTTGTGAGACAAAACCTCCCAGTATAAAACACATGTCGTGAATCACAAAGGAGATTATTGGGACCCAAATATCCTGCTGTACGTAATCAACACTTTTTGGACAAATGAGTGGTGTCAGCTTGTCACCAGTCAATAGGAACAGGTGGGGGCATCTGGACTGTGACTCTTATTTATACTTTCGTTTCTTAGCAACTATCCCCGGTGGAAGAATAATGTTATTGATGCCACAACGGCGTCATACAAAACCTGAAGTTAAGACACACTCTCAAGATTTTACTAGCAAACACTGGCGTCAAATAATTGTTCACTCTCATCGTACTGAATTACAAGTATTCCGTCGATTGTCCTCGTTGCCTATTTTCATATAGCACGGCACTGGTTATAATTTGCATACGATTTGCATACACTGAATTACAATAGAAAGAGTGTGGACAACGCGATATTCCACATCCTCGTTGCCTATTTTTATATAACACGACACTGGCCATGCTTTGCATACGCATACATACATATGAAGGTGAACATACGGAGGAGGAGCTCATATTGCACAGAAAAAAAAACGAATGCTATATAACAATATATCCTTATTATTTGCAATCATATATTCACAAACAAAATCTCAGTCACCATAAGTTAATTACTCGATGTCACATTATGTATGAAACTGTTAATGATACCAGAAACGTTCGGGGTATCATGACACTAAATACGTCTTTCTCAACTAATCGAATTTATGGTTGTCGTCATCTTGAGCAAATCTTCGCTCAGCAATATCGTACTCCCGACTTTCTTGATCATGTGAATCGCCAAGCTGATTCAGGTCAGGCGAGCGTCCTATGGTACGTCTATGTTTGGGTCCAATGTACTATAGAATACAAGAAACATAGCATTAGAATTTTGATATTGTGTATCACGTGATTTAATAGTGAATGTAATGTCAGTCAGTCAGTCAGTCAGTCAGTCTGTCATCTACTTTATTTATTCAGTTAGTTCAAAATATAGATGATGTTAAACTAAAGTTGCCAAGTTCTGGAATACGTGCAGTAAGTTAGCTTGAAATTATATTCTTCAAGTTCTTTACATACAATTTGGGATTTTGATACATATGAACTTTTGAGTCCACGAGACACTAAATATTAATGGTCTATTATTTTAAAATTATCGATGCTCAAATTAGACATACATTTCCTATTCAAGGCAACAA